TTTTGAGAAGCCGTTTCCAATTCGGCAGGCTCGTGATAATGAGACAGTTAGAAAGATGCAATGAGTTTTCTATTGGGCTGGTTTAAACTTATAGTCGTTAAAGTACGCAAACAAATCGTTATTTATTTATAGTGAAGTATAATTCACTTGTACTGTGATTAACTTGACGGCAATTTGAGCAAAATGGTTATAAAACATTACAGCTTTGCTTAAAGTTTTTTCTATGGTTTAGTTTGAGAATTACATCAAAACTGTTGCGCGTTAAAAAATTACTGCACATCACGTGAATAACAAAATGAAAAATTATTGAGTATACTGCATTTGCGGTTACTCCGTGTTGCCAGTAATGATAAAAAATTCAAAAATAATTGCTTAGTTATAAGTGAAAAAAGATTTATTAGGAAACTGGTGCTAGACCAGTTTAGACAAAGAGGTGTTAGACACTTTGACAGTTTAACTTACTCTGAAAATCGTTTCAATATTTTTGTTATTTTTCGGTGTCGAGAGTGTTTTTTTGAAACGAATGTCAAAAAACTGTTTTTGTCATTTTATATGTTAAAGACCTAACTGCGGATAATCATTCAGTTTCTTCTTTCCTACACTTCCTCAGAATGTTGTGTGCTTTGCAGGTCTACTACAGTGCAGTGAGAGATCCAATAAGAACTTGAAACTGTTTTTGCAGAACAAATAAGCGAAGAGTACAACATAAAACCTTCAGTAATGGAAACTAAAAAAGGCGGAAAACAAACTAATGACACAACGTTGAATTTAAAAACTTCAACGAATATATTCAAGGATCGTACAAGATTTATAATGATGGTATTATTATTGCTTTGCTTATCATCAGTATGGTGCAACATTTTGTCATTTAATATTGGTGTTCTTTGCATGTATCCACACAGGTATTTCCATTTTTATTTTCCTTTTTTCGTCTTTTTTCTTGTACTAGTTCAGATGACATTTTTTTAATTACTTTTTTTTTTTTTTTTGAAATTACTGCTCAAAGGCATTTAGCGGTTTCCACATGTTTTTCTATATTTTGTACTGATAGAAATAACTGGAATCTGACAAAGATGAAAAATATATTGCCAGTACTAACGCAATTTAGATAAACTGGCATCAATATTTTAAATGCTTAGCACCACTTAATTTTTCATGAAATTACTAGTCGTGGAGAAGGTACCATATTTTACAGAAGTGGAAATGGCAGTTTGACAGAATTGGAAATACAGTTAGCGCAACAAAGTGACGCCAAACCACATAAGCCGGACGACCCCCATGTTATTGGTTTCTTCCAGAAGCGAATTATATGGTATACACCTAGCGATAAGAGTAAATTGATTGCTGCTGTGGCCTTTGGAGCTTTGGTCTGTTTGTTTGAAAGCCGTTTAAAAAAGCAAATCATAAACTCCACTTTATCGTTGAGAAATATAATACGCAATAGAATCATTAGTATATTATAATAAATGGAGCAAAAAGCATATAGAGTAATCCTAAAGCAGCAAACTTTATTCTAGTTTTTACTGATCAATTTAGGTAGCAAATATGCCTATAGTATGGTTAACAAGCAGATACCAAATTCGCACAACATTTGGTATTTTGGGATTATTGTCTGGTATAGCTACGTTAATGATTCCAACTGCAGCACGACTTGGAATTAATTATTTTTTGGCAATTCGTGCAATTCAGGGAGTCGCGTTTGCAGCAAATTTTTGTGTCATTGGAAGTTTTACAACCAAATGGACGTATTTTAAGCAGGTTGAAAGATATTTTCAATTCTATAAAACCTTTGAAGATACTGTCACTTTATTGCTAGACCCTAAAACAGAACCAGTTGTACAAAAAATATCTAAAAAAGACTGTGCTCTAGTTCTCCAAAGTGGCGGCTAAATATTGGTTTTGTAGTGCTTTTGTAGTCTCTCAAACATTTAGAATAATGAGAAATTGGAATTCAGCAGGTATCAAAATATATTCTTTCTTATTTCTCCTGAATTTTGTCACAAAAACTTCTTGCATTAATGCTTTTAACACTTTTAAACACTTATCATGATGACAGACTGCTGAACGATTAACAAGCTGAATGATTAGCCGCGGTTCAGTTGAACGCAGTGAAAATTCCACTTTTTATTTATTACCTTCATCTCTTTGTAGTGAATACATACAATTATCTCAGTTTTCGAACTATCAGAGAAAACTGGTGATTTATAAAGACCAGTTTATAAAAC